GCTGTGCCCCTGATCTGCCTGCTTGGCTGACATCATCAGAAGTAGTGATCTGAGCCAATCACAATGCTTTCACAGAGGAAAGTATTGGATTGGCTAAGACTCTCAAGCAGGCAGATCAGGGGCAGGGCTAGAACAAGTCAAACACACCGTGCAGCACTGCCCCAGGAAGCATCTTTAGTAGCCATATGAGGAGTAGCCAGTGGAGGTATCCCTAGGCTGTCAGAGATATTGTGCTGTAATGTAAACACTGCATTTACTCTGAAAAACAGACTACAAAAAGCCTGCAGGGACTGACTATACTCACCAGAACATATACAAAAAACTGTAATTGTTCGTGTGTCCCTTTAATTCAGCCCTGTATTGAAAAAGGTATGGAAGGGGAACATATAGCTTAGCATACTGTCTACTTTTGCAAATGGTATGCATTTATGGGGTAATTTAAAATGTGTATACATTTATATCATATTAGATACACTAGAATGTACACTTATTTGTGCAGTAATTTGAACAGTCAAACTGCTACAATGCCCCAAAATGAAACATAGGCCTATTAAATCCATCTATGAAAATTCTAACTGTAAAAAACAACTTCACATAGTAGTGGCAAAGGCAAACATTAGGGGTATTATTGTAAGATTTAGCTTAACACAGTTTGGGATTTTATATAAGAGCATTCCATGTCACATTTCCAAAATACACTTGTATCTGTGTATGTAAATAACAAATCACAATTATAGTAATTTTTTTTAACAGAGATTGGCAGTTAAAAGAACACTCCAAACACGTAATGCACTTTAGCTTGCTGAAGTGCTTTATTTGTGAAGTGTGTCCCTATTTATTTTACAAAAGGTACAGATTTCAATAGAAATTGGCACATTTATAAATGAACCTTGTTACACCCTCCTGACTGTCAATCATACAACCAGTCCTGTTACTTCCTGGTTTTTAGCTCAGTTGATCTAAACTCAAGAGGCAGGGAACTGCCCTGAACACTTGCCCTGCAAAGACTTATCAATGAGCTACATTTGAGAAGGTTGTGGTTAGCCACATAATGTATGGGCTGGAGAAGAAAGGGAGGGCTTGCAAAGAGAGATCTTGCATATAAGGGGAGGGCTTGCATGCAAGGTAACTGCAGCTTTTGCTAAGCATTGTAGATATTCCACAATTAAAAGA